TCATTTCCTTTAAAGTCTGCGAGGGCAGAGACCACAAGCCGCTGATAGACAGCCCTTGAGACTGTTTTAATTGTTGCCATGGAAATGCTCGAGTGACGATTACAATCATTATAACTGCTGTCATATTGTTTTTATAGTTGGCTATTAAAAAAACAGCAACTACGTCACGGCCTTATTGCAATGAATTGTGGCCGATTAAATCAGTGAAGTCTGCACCCCAAGCAGACTCTCTGAAAGTCTGCAGGAAGTCCGCTCGAGGCCCCTTGTGGACTGGTTGAATTGTGGATTTGGACAGTCCTCAGCACTCCCAGTCCTTCCACAAGCGTGCCCGCAAAGTCTGCAAGTGTGTTGAAGTCCTGATTCAGCTGTTGTTTCTGGACTCTAAACTGCAGACGCTGCGATGGAGCAGTAACACTGGTTTAAGTGCATAATTCAAGGGTAAAACAAATTTTAAGTCAAGTCAAGAAAGTCCTATTTTTAAACCATAGCTACAGCCGTTTATATACTTATCAGGTGATTATACAACTTTATAATTTTGTTCTGGGACACACAGGTCCAACCAGGAGATGTGTCACTTCTTAACCATCTTTGGTAAAGGGATCAGAGGCAGCAGACAGAACTATGATGCTGTAAATACCTTTAAAGTTGCCTAATATGTTGGTAAAAGACCATCAGGGTTTTTAAAGATTGTCAGGTATTTTATCCTTTAGATAAAAACCCTGCTCAGCTCTGAGTAATAATAATAATAATACATGGAGCTATTAATGATCCATGTTAGCTTCAAAGATCAACTGTTCAAGTTTTTACCTCAATCAATCCCTCCAGTGTCCTTTTCCTCCGTTACCTCTGATGTCAGGACAAAGTAATTCATAAAAGAGCTCCTGGCTGTCGGCGCTGTCAGTAAACAGGCCCAGCGTGCAAACATTTGCTCACAGAAGCAGGACCTGCACATCCTGGCTCTCCTTTTAAGGCAGCTCGCCTGCAGCTCCTGGTGGAGCCCCCACCACCCGCCCACCTCGGAGCACGTCTCCGCCTGAGCCAAGTTTCCTCCGTGATCTTTAGACAAAAGGAGGCTGGAAGCAGTCCTCTGAGGGGGGGCGGGGGTGCCAGTCTGTGAGCGATGAACTGAGGGTGGATTCAAGTCTCACTGTGCGCCTGAGAGGACACTGCTGCGAGGTTATACTACCTTAAATCAATTAATTTCCTCAAGCTTTTTCAGAGGCAAATCAGTAATGGGGCAGTTTGGGCAGGTTCATGACACACACATGGATTTATTTTGATTCTGATATCATCTGAGGCCCTTAAAGGCGCATACATTGGCATAAGTGGAATATAATACAATAATTATGTTTTCTTTGGTGTATAATTACCTAACAAAAAAAGGAATCATGTTTTCTTTACCTTAGAATGAGCTGTTTCTATCTACATACCGGAGGTGATTTACGAGCACACACTTACTGATCATCATTTGCAAAGCTCAACATCTCTCTATCTATGGTCTTATCAACCTTGACACAACAAATAAGTAATCTGAGACAACTAGGATTTGTACCCAGGTTTGCTGTAAACTCTGACTTATTGATGTCACTGTTAAGAAGCAGAGACAACTTAATTAAAGCCAGAAATCTTTCTTAATCTGCAACATGTTAGTCTGGAGGTTTAAACTCGCGTCCTCTCACAGAGTTGGTGATTCAAACTAAACTTTCATCTCTGTCAAAGAAAACTGATCAGCACAGCTACACTCACAGATAACTGAGCCTCCTACCTGCCTGTCAAACACCACCAAACCATAAACCTTCCTGAGACGGTCGAGCTCTGAGTGGAGACCTGTATGGATCAGCAGATGTGAAGTCCAGCGGCTGGTGGCTGCTTGCTCCGCTACCATTCAGCAGCTAACGAGTGGAGCTAACTGCTAACAGCCGGATTTCACTAATCTATTCAGCAGCTCCACCATCCACAGTCAGAAACACATGATTATTTACTGCTGAATTACAGCTCACAACTCACACCAATGGCTGACACTGCTCCGGTGTGAGTGTTCTTGCTGGCTAGTGAAACACCATGGTGCATACTATTTACTGGACATTGCCAGTCTGTCGCTCATGCGGCATTTGAAGATGATGACAAGCACAGCTGTTCTCCGCTTTCAATGTCCGATAGTCCACTCCGAACAATTTTGTCATGTCTCGTCTCGTCAGTGAAAATGAAACATAGATTTTGTCCTACTTTTTATTGTCAAAATCCATTTTCAGCTCATCATTGTCTCGTTTTTGTCATCGAAAAGAGGTTGTTGACAAAAAATTTTCATCATAGTTTTTGTCAACGAAGTTAGCGCTGATCGGGGCCTAACTTGGATAAGTTTCAGCTGGTTGCAGTTTGCAGTCCTCACCACTAGATGCCACCAAATCCCTCTAAACCTGACACATTGCGACGTTAACATTTTAAAATACAGCTGTCAAGTTTTCGATATAGCTGCAACATTTCTGAGCTGAAACCTGCCACATTTTCCAGACTCTGTGCATGTTGCTTAAATTTCTCTGTATTTTCTTCTCTTGTTTCCAATGAGCTCTCCTGACCACTTTTACTCATCTTGAACCCAGCGGGTTATCTGACTACATGTTGTCATGGAAACACTCATTCACTCATGCATCACCCAGTGCAGTGATGGAGACTGACAGGCCAGTGTTAAAGAAGTGTTGTGTCATGGATGAGCCCCTCTTCATCCCCTCTGGGCTGTTTCTATTCACAGGGGAGCCTGGCTCCCTCCGTCTCCCCGGGTGTCTGTATGTAGGCTGAGGGGCTAAAATAACTCACTGTACTCTACTGCGCTATAAAAAGCCTGTGGTGCAGAGCGAAAGGTGCCCCTACACCTGGCGACAGGTACAATATGATACAGTATGTGACTTTGTCAAAGCTCTCCGAGTCTGGAGACTGACATTAGATTATTAATATTTAGACATTATTGCGACACACATATGGAGGACACTTTTACAGAGATCATCATTCAGTAGCGGCCCTGTTTTTACTTGCTTGCAGCGTTGTTGCTGATCCATTGCTTCATCTCCAAAATGACTCATTTGGGAAATCTTGGCGTGCCTGTGTAGGCAGTGTAGATGGATGTATGCAGGGTTAATGGTGGAGATGAAGGCAAATATAGAAATGCTCTATTATAAGTATATGACTGCATTAAAGTTGTAGATGGTAACTTTAATAAAAATAACTTGGTGTTATATTTGCTGAAAGAAGTACATGAGACAGATAATCTGGGATAAAAATCACGTTCCTCTGTTTCCTGCTGCTTCTAATGGCATTTCCCAGAATCCACCATTGCTCACTAAAAACAATCTATCAGAGCTGAGGAGTCTGTAACACAGCTGACAGTCACGTCAATCTCTGCTTGTGAACTGAGGTCAAACTGTGATACTAGGCAGCACTGATCAAATATGGATCAAGATTCTTTTGATTCTTTCTGTGATGAGGAAATTTGTGGCACAGCTGCCATGTTGGAAACAGTCGAGGCGAAACAAAACACAACCCACCAGCCGGACCAAAACTTTCTCGTTTTACAGCTAAACAGTACACTAAAATAGTTTCTGAAAACATTTGAGGTAAGAAAAAGGTAATGCAGTAACAGAATCTTGATTCATATTTGATCAGCGCTGCCTGACAATTTAACTGCAGTGTATGAGCAGTGATTGACGTGATTGACAGCTGCGTTAGAAACTCCTCAGCTCTGATTGGTTGTTTTAGTTCTCAGGTGGTAATATCATCAGAAGTGCCACAAGACAATACAGTAAGCAAAGGAGTGTGATTCCCCCCCCCACAGATTATCTGTCTGATTGAGTACTGTGGGAATATAGTGACATTTTCAGCAAATATTACAACAAACTTAACCAAACACAGTTTTAAATGTTCAACTCGACTAAAAGTACAGACATATTTGGAGCAAAATGTACTTAAATTATCAAAAGTGATTTTTTTTTTTTTTTTTTTTAAAAAGGCCTTTTACTGAAAACTATTATATTTGACATATTAAGAGTGTCAATTCTGATGGATTAATGTGTAGTTCAGTCCAGTGGTTTTCAAACTGAATGTGGAGCCTCCTCAAAGGGCCACAAGAGAGATCTGAGGAGGTTGTGGGATGATTAATGCAGATGGAAAAAAAGGACAGAATCTTTGTTTTTTTTTTCTAAAATATTGGAGCGTTTTACTCGTAAATATTTTATATTAACATGATTTAAGGTTTTGAGGTGAAAACAACTCATCTGAAGGCAACAAGTGGCCAGACTAAACCCGGATTTTTTGTAAGTGGTGTAAGTGATTTAATTTGATTCATTGCAAATATGTAAAGAAAAAAAGGGGAAAAACAGTAACAAACAAAATGAGCAATAAACACAAAGCAAACTCTTAATGCACAAACTTCTAATAAACAACACAGATAAACAGTATTAAATATTTACATGTCTGAAAAGAAGTAGGAACAAATATACTCTTATATGGTCCTACTGCTTCTCAATAATTAACCCAATATTTAACATATATAACTCATCAAAAACATAATGTAAAACCCAAATATCCACCCAGTGAAGAGAGTGTTGGGAGCCACTGGTTTAATATTTAACAAGATGTCATATTTTATAATCATATCAAATCAAGTTTATTGTATATGCACATTTAAATTCATCCACAGTTGACCAAACAGAATAACACCAATAAGAACAATTACACATGTAAAAAGATGATACAATACGAAAATACTAAACCCACTACAAGCAACCAAAGGCCACTGAAAAATGTATGTCTGAAGATTTGCCTGAAAAGAAATGGTATGAAATGGAAATACTAAAGAAAAGTACACATACAGTACCTCAAATTGTGCTAAAAGTACAGCACTACAGTAAATGTACATAATTACATAGTTATTCAGAGGGGATTTGCTGTGCATTAGCTGCAACACAAAGTAGTAGGAGTGCAGATATCTGCAGTATAGACGACTGAACACCACCAAAGCTTTCCCTCATCTGTGAGTCTCACGCTGTTTCTCCCCTCGTCCTCGTCTTGCAGGCAGAGACAGCGGCCAACAGGATCTGCAAGGTGCTGGCTGTCAACCAAGAGAATGAGCAGCTGATGGAAGACTATGAGAAGCTGGCCAGCGATGTGAGCACTCCCCGATTCTTTCCTATAATTGTCCTCCACCTCCTCAACCCTTCTATCTCCCCTCTCCTTATTAAGCCGCTCCCTCACCTCCCTGTCCCCGGGGATGTGTGTGCTCCATGCAGGTGCAGGATTAGAGACAAACAGGGTAGATTAAGATAAAAAGGCAGCCAGGGAAACACTGCTGGTCTCAGGCTTAAGCATTAAAGAGTATCTGAGTAGTGATCTTCATCAGACTGTTTATGATAGAAAATGTTCAGCAGCATCAAAAATACTACTCAGATCTTACTAAATGGGATAAAACAGGCAAAATCACAGTTATTTTCCTTTAAATCAGACACGAAATGTTCGTAGAGTTTTATTTGATTGCAAGAAATGAACAACAAACCAATTATCTCAACCTGTATTTTCTGTCTCCCCTCGTCTCACACATTAATCACATCCACTACACCTCATTTATTTCCCTTCTATCTGCATGCTTCTCCTTTACGTCTCCATTTTCTTCCCCTTGAATGGTACTTGTCTCTCCATACCCTCTCTCTTCTTCAACACACACACACACACACACACACACACACACACTTGCCCACACACCACCATCAACGCCCAGCTGCTGGAGTGGATCCGTCGCACCATCCCCTGGCTGGAGAACCGCCTGCCGGAGAACACCATGCAGGCCATGCAGCAGAAGCTGGAGGACTTCAGAGATTACCGCCGCCTCCACAAGCCGCCCAAAGTGCAGGAGAAGTGCCAGCTGGAGATCAACTTCAACACCCTGCAGACCAAGCTGAGGCTCAGCAACAGGCCCGCCTTCATGCCCTCGGAGGGAAAGATGGTCTCGGTAGGTCCTGGAAACTTGTTAAAGTACAAACTCGCACACAGAGAGAAAAATTTGAGATCCACACCTCCTCCTGTGCACGACTGTGACGGGCATCAGTGGTCAGAGAGTTACCTCAGCTCCCATGAATCATGTAGGCACACAATGTTTGATCCCATTTTTAACCCAGGTCTCTCTGGGTCACTTGTTTGCTTTTAAGTAGCAGTCACAGTGCAGCCCACATATGGCTGAGAGCACTGGTTCCCAACCTGGGGGTCACAGCGCCCACTAGGGGTCGCCAAAGCTTTATGAGAGGTCGCAGGGCCTTGTTGATGTTGATGGCAATAAGGATTTTTTTTTTTCAAGATATACATGGAAAGCTTTTATCTCAGTATTTCATTCATTTCTGTGAATTAATTATTCTTAACATTTAGATTATTATTCAAGACATAAATCTACAAGAAAGGGCACAGTAAGGACCTGAACATAAGCTATATTTGCACAACAGCCTCATCCTGCATTAGAAAAGCACACAGTCAAAACAACTTACAGAACAATGGCCAAGTGTCAGGAAGAAGAAAACACTGACTTTATTAAGAAATAAGCACTTAGAAAAAAAAAACATAATGCAGACAGAGAATCGTATAAAAAGTTCCTGAATATATCAGGAAAACTCATCTTTGATTAAATATTCACAAGAAATAATCTGTTCAAATTCATCCAAATTGCTTGTTTAACACAAACTTCCTGCAGATAATTTGGTGTAAATGTATTGTTTACCAGTTGTTCTGTACTGTTACTGTTATACATTAAATATAATATGAAATATCCATAAAATCTGTCACATAGTCAGGGGTTGTAAGTCTGTTAAGGAAAACAGTTGGTTTAGAGCAGGGGTCAGCAGCCTCTACTATCAAAAGAGCCATTTATGACTAAAAATGATAATAAAAAGAAAATCTTTGAGGCTTTTAACGGAGGTATTAAGTCTAAATTAGCCCATACTAATAGTCCAGATTATTCATGTTTTACCACTAGGTGGCTCCTCTGCAGGTCACTATTTATGATTATTTGGTACTTTAACTTTGCAGAGCTGCAGTGAAAGCAAACAAATCTGTCCATGCACTCCAAAATTCACTATTTTATTGCAAGACTTTTACCTTTCGGATTTGGCATCCATAGCTAACCTACAAGGAAGACTCAAGATGAGCTACTGCTATTACGGTTCGGCAAAATTTCATGGACAAGATGCCAGGCAGTAGATGTATTACACACATTTAAGTTAAAACATTTTTAATCAGTATAATTAACCGTTATTTATTTCCATATAATATTTTGTCAAAGCCACAGGGAGCCACTGGAGAAGGGTTAAAGAGACGCATGTGGCTCCATTGCCACAGGTTGCCTACCCCTGGTTTAGAGTATCGTCAGTTCGTCACAAATATAGATAAAGCTGGAGAAAATGTGGCCTCCAAAATATTTTAGTTATTAGTTATATAACTAAAGACTGAAATTTTATATCATTGCTTTTCTGTGCTCTGATATTTTGATTTACAAACTGTTACACAATGGCACCAGCATGCTTCTTTTTGTGAAAGATAAAATAAGAATAAGTATATATAAATATGAATGTAATAATATTATTCATAAAGTGCTTCTCAAAACATAATGTGTATATGTCAATAATAAAAACAGACAAGACATGAAAACAACAACTTTTAAGTAAATATAAATTAAAATCAGGAAAAGCCTCTCTGATAAAAGTTTGTTTTAAGAAGGGACTTAAAAGAAATCACTGACTCGGCTGACCTGATTTCCTCAGGCAGACCGTTCCAGAGCCTCGGGGCCCGGACAGCAAACACTCTTTCCGCTTTAGCTTTCAGACAAAAGACCTCTGCTGCTTGAGGACCTCAAGGTGCGTCCTGGTGTGTACGGCACTAAGAGGTCAGAGATATAGCTGGGAGAGAGACCATGAAGAGCCTTAAAAGTAATCAGTAAAGCAGCACAAAACAGCACATATCTGCAAATATGTGCTGTTTGCAGATAGTTGTGTTACTTCCATTCAATTTAGAATGAATTAAATGACTCTTGGGTCACTTGTAGAGATGAACTTACAGAATTTAATCACCTGACTCTGCAGTTCTCCTCAGCTCTGTGGAGGGTTTTAATGTCCTTCTGCTTATTGTGCTGGTTTTACAGCCCAGTGCTTTACTGTCCTGATTCACTTTGTGTTCAGACGTATAGCTCATTAGCCCTGTGTCCAGATACAACAGGCAGCAGTTTTAAAATCCACTGTACACTGTTTCACTGTACTGCAGCGTCAAATGACAAAGTCAGAGACTAGCTGGTTAGCAGAGTGAAGCATTTATCAGCTAAAGAGACACTATTTCACTCAGGAGTTGGTGGAGACTGGAACCATTTAAACCAGAGCTAAAATGAGAGTTAATGTTGGACTAATATTGAGTATCATAAGTTGTGTTCACAGCTGGTTTCAGACGCCCCCAAGAGGCCAAAAATTCTGTTTTATGGTTAAAATTAGTGCTAGATTTGGATGGAAATCCAAGTACACTCTCATTTACATATGATGACTTTCTTCTGTCTGTTTCTCCTTCTGTTTTTTCCTTTGGCAAGAACAAACTCATAAGTATTGTTTCCTTTGCCTGGTGCAGGACATTAACAATGCATGGGGAAACCTGGAGGGAGCAGAGAAGGGCTATGAAGAGTGGCTCCTCAATGAGATTCGCAGGCTGGAAAGACTCGACCACCTGGCGGAGAAATTCCGCCAGAAAGCAGCCATCCATGAAGCCTGGACTGAAGGTATTGAGTGTGTGAAAGGAGAAACACTCATTGTCTGAGTGGAGGCATCCAGCTCCTGTCTTTTACTCTCATGTGTCTCAGGCAGCTGCTGAAGGCCACAATGAAGTAAAATGGAAACTAGAGCCTCTATGTTCTTGTCCTGTCTTTCAGTATCATTTACCAGGAATCATAAACAGACAAATGTCACTGTTGAAAGGATTGAGACACTTTTTTAAATCATATCTTTACGAGTACATTCTCTGTGTCTCCACCTGCAGGTAAGGAGGAGATGCTGCAGAAGCGTGACTATGAGACAGCCTCTCTGTCAGAGATCAAAGCCCTGCTGAAGAAACACGAGGCCTTTGAGAGCGACCTGGCTGCACATCAGGACCGTGTGGAGCAGATCGCTGCCATCGCACAGGAGTTAAAGTAAGAGATGGAAAACAGATTCTTCCATTGATCAACACAGGATTAAAGGGACAGTTCACCCCAAAATCAAAGTTCCATATTTCCCCTCCTACCTGTAGTGCTATTTGTCAGTCCAGATTGTTTTGGTGTGAGTTGCAGAGTGTTGGAGATATCAGCCATAGAGATGTCTGCCTTCTGTTCAATATAATGGAACAGGATGGCACTCGGCTTGTTTTGCTCAAAGCACCAAAAAAATACATGTGAAAAACTCAACAGCAATGTTTCTTTCCAGAAATCATGACCTGGTTACTCAAGATAATCCACAGGCCTTGTTGTGAGCAGTTTCATGTAGGAACTATTTTCTTTCTATCAAACTACACCTGTCAACTGCATCACCACACAGAAGGAAGAGTGCAACTACTGCTAGCTCACCTAGCCCCACTGAGCCATCTAACGTTGCATCTCAGCCAAGTAGGACCCCATTAGGGTTAAAAACCTTTCGTTGCTATCAGTACAAGCCTCTCGTCCATGAGTAGATGCACACTTCCTTCTGTGTGGTGATACGGTTGGTGGGTATAGCTCGGTAGACAGAAAATAGTTCCTACATGAAACGGCTCACAACAAGGTCTGTGGATTATCTTGAGTAACCAGGTCATGATTTCTGTTGAATTTTTTTAAAATACATTTTTGGTGCTTTGAGCACCACAAGCTGAGTGCCATCTAGTTCCATTATATTGGAGAGAAGGCAGACATCTCTATAATGTAGCCGTATGTTGCTGACCGTATCACCGTGCAGAAGGAAGAGTGCATCTACTCATGGACAAGAGGCTCGTGCTTGTGACAGCGCAAGGTCTAAATACTAATGGCGTCCTCCTGGGCTGAGTTGTAATTTTAGCTAGCTCAGTGGTGCTAGATGAGCTAGCAGTAGATGCACGCTTCCTTCTGCTAAATGATACTGTTGGAGGATCTACTTTGGCAGAAAGAAAATAGTTCCTACATGAAACGGCTCACAACAAGGTCTGTGGATTATCTTGAGTAACCAGGTCATGATTTCTGGAGTGTAGCTGAGTGCCATCTAGTTCCATTATATTAGAGAGAAGGCAGACATCTCTATAATGTAGCTGTCTGTTGCTGACCATATCACCGTGCAGAAGGAGGCGTGCATCTACTCATGGACAAGAGGGTTGTGACAGGTGTAAACACTTATGGTGTCCTCCTCAGCTGAGCTGTAATGTTAGCTAGCTCACTGGTGCTAGGTGAGCTAGCAGTAGATGCACTTTTCCTTCTGAGCAATGATACGGTTGGTGGGTGTAGTTTGGTAGAAAGAAAAAAGTTCCTACATGAAACTGCTCACAACAAGGTCTGTGGATTATTTTGAGTAACTGGGTCATGTTGAGTTTTTAAAGTCGAGTGCCATCTAGTTTCATTATATTAAAGAGAAGGCAGACATCTCTACAGTTGATATCTCCAACACTCTGCAACTCACACCAAAACAATCCAGACTGATAATGTGCACTACAGGTAAGAGGGGAAATATGTTCTTGATTTTGAGGTGAACTGTCCCTTTAACATAAAGTGGGATTAGTTGAGGGGTACATTCAGTGAGTCTGTTCTGTCATGGCTGTATCAATCATCCTCTGTCTCACTTTATAATGTTTGTGGTGATCTCTAGTGTTTTTTTGTCATTAATTATTTTCAGAATTTTCATCATAAACATGAAAACTCACTCTTGTGAGCTTTGTTTTACTTAATTTGCAGATGTAAATGATTAAACACTGAACCCTCTCCAAACCTAATGAGTGATTCAATGAACCCTTTAGGGGCTCATAGAAACAAAAACAAATGACAAACAAAGACGCAGCAGGATCACAAAGGCATTAAAGTGCATCTGAGGAAGACGTGATGCTAAAAAACAGCCACATGTAAATGCAGTTCGCAGCGATGCAGATAATGATAATGAATCTCCCGTTCCCTCGTCTGTCTGTGCTCCAGTGAGCTGGACTACTACGACTCCCCCAGTGTAAACGCTCGCTGCCAGCGGATCTGTGACCAGTGGGACACCCTGGGAGCTCTGACCCAGAAACGCAGCGAGGCTTTGCAGGTGAGATGAGTTTGAAAAAAAAAGACTCTGGGGTAACCCGGAGAGAATTAAAAATAAACTATTGAAGAGTTTCTAACTTGTAAAAAATCACTTTGTTATCCGTGTTTTTAAGTTCCTGCTTTCCTTCTTGGTGAGAGCAGAGATAATTACACATTTAGAGATGAAAGTCATCTCCCTCACAGCGAGAGGCTGTGAAGACATTTGATTTTTAGGATTCCCGCTGGCCTTGAAACTCCTTTTAAGTTTGGTTTGATTCAAGATTTTTTATTTTTGAAAATACACTATGACCCCCCCAAATCCATCTGTGTACCCTGGCTCTCTGACAGATCAAGAATGAAATGAAGCATCTGTGAATTTTTTTGAGGTTCACCCAACAAGACCTTATAAAGCCTGTGGATCTGTGTGATAACCTTGTTTTTTATTGCTCAACAGAGAACTGAGAAGCTGCTTGAAACCATCGACCAGCTGTACCTTGAGTTTGCCAAAAGGGCGGCTCCGTTCAACAACTGGATGGAGGGCGCCATGGAGGACCTGCAGGACACCTTTATCGTCCACACCATCGAAGAAATCCAGGTGAGCGCACAGACGACTCACAGGGACGAGCACAGGAGACCTTACTCACCCCAGCATCAATAAAGCTAGTCACATGCAGCAGGTAAACAGCGCGTTTCTGTGTTGTGTCTCAGGGATTAAGCACAGCCCACGAGCAGTTCAAAGCCACGCTTCCAGAGGCCGACAAAGAGCGCCAGGCCATCCTGGGCATCCACAATGAGATTGCCAAGATTGTGCAGACCTATCATGTGAATATCGCCGGCACCAACCCGTATACTACCATCAACCCACAAGAGATCAATGCCAAATGGGACAAGGTAATAAATCAATCATAAGCAAGAAAATTCAAAGTGGTTTTCAATCTTTATTCATCCAAGAAAGAGCTAATCCAGCATCCAGATTTTCTCATCGAACTCAAGGTCTAAAGCATATTTGACTAATATCCCATACCCTCTATCAGATGTTTTAGCCTGTAAGGTTCTGTGTGTGTGTGTGTGTGTTCTCTGTCTGTTTCAGTCTCCCCTCCTCATTAGAGTCACATCAGTGTGTTTTAATAAATTTGTTTTTCTGTGACGCTCCGTCCTGCTGCAGGTCAGACAGCTGGTGCCTCAGCGCGACCAGGCTCTGATTGAGGAGCACGCCCGGCAGCAGAATAACGAGCGTCTGCGCCGACAGTTTGCCAACCAGGCCAATGTCATCGGGCCCTGGATCCAGACCAAGATGGAGGTCAGTGTGAGAACGTGTCAGAAGCAGGGCGGCGTGGTGATGGGTGCAGCGCTGCACTCTGTCAATGCAGAGAGTGTGTCATTCAGTTTGTGAATGAAGTTACAGCGCAGCTCCGTGTTGAGTTTAGTCCTAAACTTATGAGGACAAGTTTAAAATTAGAAGTGAATTTTTCTGGGGATTTTTATGTTTACATCACGTGGTCATGAATATGTCCAGAAAAACATATTTTTGTTTATTAAGTTCTTTGAAACAAAGCTGTTATTAGTCACAGTGGTGTTGTAAGATTGGCACGAATCGCAGTGATAAAGTGGCCAGTGAGTGTATAGCATACAAGTAAAATAGCTAAATTAGATTTGATAGGAATGTGACTTTGTGACGGGGTAGTGTGAGGTAAAGAGATAAACGCCAGGCAGAAATGGTGACTTTTATATATTCTTGTCATGTCCTCCACTTTGCGATGACTCATTCTTATTAAATCACTTATTTGTGTCTCTGCAGGAAATCGGCCGCATCTCAATCGAGATGCACGGCACCCTGGAGGACCAGCTGACACACCTACGCCAGTACGAGAAGAGCATCGTCAACTACAAGCCAAAGATCGACCAGCTGGAGGGAGACCACCAGCTCATTCAGGAAGCTCTCATCTTTGACAACAAGCACACCAACTACACCATGGAGGTAAAACCTGGAGCCAAGATTCAATCACCCTACATGACTGTGAGATTGTTGTTGGTCTGTTTAACATCTAATGTGGCTGGATGCACTGTCTATGTGCTGTTTTATGTTGGTGTCAGATGGTTTTGGTTTGCCAAAAGGAACAAAGAATGTTCAGACAAAAACAGGAAAGTCTTGAGCAGTTTAATCCTGAGCTTTCCTGACGCTGCACTTTACCATCCAGTCTCCAGTGCACGAAATTAACTTTTTGACTCATCAGACCAGTGCTGGAAAACTATAAACCCCAGCCTGTCCGCCTGCCAAGAGTTATTTTTACTGGCCAGAATAATTCCTATTAATCTTGTTATTGAAATTCTGCGCATCATCTGACCCATTTGCAGAGCTATTATGTAGGTGTGTGTCTAGAATCAGCTTCTGTGCAAGGCGCTGTGTAAAGAGGTGAGAAAAGCTTTAAAGTGTAAATGCCACATTTGTTAATGTATTTATGATAATTATATTTTTCAGCAGCTTCATGAATTTTTTTTTTCTTGCTAAGTGCAGCCTTTTCTGTTTTGGTTAAACCAGCTGTGTGAGGCTACTCAGCCATTCTGACAGAAGAGCAACAGCACTCTGAGAAATAAAGGTGCTAACTAGAACCATAAAAGGTTCTTCAGCTTGTCCCCACTGGGGAACCCTTTTTGGTTCGTAGTAAGGATCCCATCTGGAACCCTATCAGAGGGTTATACATACATAAAGGGCACCACTTAAAACTATCTGTGAATGGTTCCAGCCAGAACTCGCTATAGGAGATTGAAGAGAACCCTTCTGGGGACGGCTCTGGCCCAGAGGCTCCTCCAATCAGCATGTCAGAGTGTCCTTGGGCAGGATACTGAGCCCCAAATTGCTCCCATGTATGAATGGGTGTAATAGGACTAAAAGCACTTTTAGTCATCAGAAGACTAGAGAATCATAGAAGTGCAGTCCATTTATCATTTACCCAGCTACCAGGTTCCACACAGATACCTCTCTTACCTCTTTTCCACCAACATGGGACAGGTTCTTTTCTGGTTCGTGAACCTAACTTTGAATCATTTGGAGCAATTTGACAAAAAATAAATTGGTTGGTAACCCAAAAAACTTAGTTCCCATCTGGAACCAGAAACAGAAGGTTTTTGCTTGACCTGAAGTACAAAAACCATGATGATGTTGATGGATGTGCCATTTTCGACAGATTACAGAGAATTGCATGTAATAGTCTTCTGCGTCCTCTTGTCATTAGTAGTTTGTTCACGGTTGTTTTTTGGTTTAAAACAAATATCTGTCAGAACAAAAGCTCAGGTAATCAGTGTGACCCGCCATCTTGCTGCTAGTGTTGACTTCCACTGTGCATTTTGCAAGGCCCTCTGTTGATGACGCATCATTGATATCTGTGGTTTGTGGGCTGGTTTGCTAGATAGTACCAAGGTTCCAAAAATCCTGAATGGAGCCAGTTCACGAACCAGAGCAAATTTAGTGGATGAGGAATGTTAGGGGGCTCTATCCAGAACCTTCCTGCTTTCTAAGGGTGCTACATAGGAAGGGTTCTGCTCAAAACGCTTTTTTATTCCAATGGTTTCATGTAGAACCAACCCGGGGGACTCTACCAATAGTAGTTGACTACATTACCCATAGATAATGGGATTGATGTGTTGCCCCAACAGTTTGTAGCCAATGCTAATTTGAGGGCAAGGATCTTTTAACAGCCATGCTTTTAACAATCCTTGAAGAACTCGTCCTTCCAAAAAGGAGTCTTTGGTTGAAAACGGTTCTTAATGGACCCCTTAGTTTTACAAGGAACCCTTGAAGAACCTTCTTAAGAAGAAAATTGTTCTGGGTAGAACCTCAGCCCTTTAGCAAGAACCTTTCTGGACCCTTTATTTCCAAGAGTGTAGTGAAACCCAACTGTTTTGTCAGATGTAAGGCACTAAAGTTTGGCTGTGATTAACTGGTTTATACTGGTTTATACATGCTCAACAACAGGCATTTGTGCTTTGAATTATTTTGCTCACAGTCAAAGTCCTCAGTGGCCATCAGAGACCAACATGGGAGCAACCAAACACTAGTCTGTGTATAATTAAAACATTCACATTAAATTTTGATGCTATTAAATATCAGATTTGCATTTTCCTGACACAGTGAAATCCCAGTGATCTGATCCTCCCCGCAGGTTAAACCAAACATTTTATTTCTAACCACTGTTTAACCCACAGCTACAGCTCAGCTAAAACCAATGCCTCTGAGACTCTTTTACTATCCGCCTCTTCCTTCGCCTTCTTTAAACTTCCTCTGCCTTTGTGTCTCTTTCCCTCCTCTGCAGCACATCCGCGTGGGTTGGGAGCAGCTACTCACCACCATCGCTCGTACCATCAACGAAATTGAGAACCAGATCTTGACGCGAGACGCCAAGGGCATCAGCCAGGAGCAGCTGAACGAGTTCCGGGCTTCCTTCAACCACTTCGACAGGGTCAGTACTGGCACTGAGTCATGGTGCAGACATAAAGAGAGGTGCTGTAGGCGGTACGCTGCTTGTTTACTGTCAGCTGTAAACACACAACACACATGTTGTAAAGTGAGACAGGGAACACAAAGGTTTAGTGTAGTTAAAGCATTTAGGAAATATGTTCACTCAATTTCTTGCTGCGAGTTAGACAAGAGGACCACTCTCATGTCTGTTTGTTAAATATAGAGCTAAAGCCAGCAGCTAGCTAGCTTTGCTAAGCTTAGCATAAAGACTGGAAACAAGGTGATACAACTAGCGCAGCTCTGTCAAAGTTGTAAAAACAGGAGGCCACCTTTGGAGGTTTTGTGCCAGACTATTTCCTGGTTGGGAGAAGTGACTTCCTTGACTCTGCTGGGTTTTAGTGAGCTTTGTAAGTGCTAAATGCTAAGCTAGGTGTATCATCTGCTAACTCTAGTTTTCTATCAAACAGACATGAGAGTGGTATCAATCTTCCCATATGACTCTTAGCAAGAACGTGAATAAGTGTATGTCCCAAAATGTCGCTCTTCTGCTTTAAAAATGGACGTAATCATTTCTGTAATGAGGATTTAGTTATCTTAGCTTTGCATCAACACAGGAAACGGGGGAAAACAACTAGCACAGCACTGTTAAAGTTGTAGAAATTAAAATTAGCCATGTCACAAGGAGTTTTTGCAAAACTATTCCCAGACTATTTCCTGACTGGAAGAAGTGACTTCCGTGATTCTGCTTGTTTATTAGCAAGCTTTTTAAGTGCTAAACACTAAGCTAAGCTAATTGTCTGCTAACTCTAGCTTTATATTTATCAAACGGACATAAGAGTGGTATCAATGTTCTCATCTGACTCTTAGCAAGAAGGTGAATAAAATGTCAAATGTCTGCTTTAAAAATTGATATTACCATTTTTTAAATGCAGAGTCACTCACAGGGAGTTCGCTTAGCTTAGCACAAAGACTAGGAGCAGGGGCAAACAACTAGCACAGCTCTGTTAGAGCTGTAGAAACAACAGTTAGCCACCTTATGAGGGTTTTGTGCCAGACTATTTCCTGGACTCTGCCGGTTTGATAGTGAGCTTTGTAAGTGCTAAATATTAAGCTAAGCTAATCGTCCGTTAACTGTAGCTCTATATTTGTCAAGCAGACATGATTATCTGACTCTTAGCAAGAAAGTGAATAAGTGTATATCCCAAAATGTCGCTCTTCTTCTTTAAAGATGGATGTAGGCTAATACTTTCTGGAACATTGAGTCACCTACAGGTAGTTCGCTTAGCTTAGCATAAAGACTGGAAACGGGGAAGACAACTAGCACACATCTGTCAAGTTGTAAAAAAAAAAAAAAAAAAAAGATTCATCATCTTATGTTGGTTTTGTGTCAGACTGTTTTCTGGTTGGTAGAAGCGATTTCCTTGACTCAGCTAGTTTATTAGTGAGCTTGTGAGTGCTAAAAGCTAAGCTAATTTTCTGCTAGCTCGAGCATCATAATAAGGACATGAGAGTGATATCAGTCATCTCATCTGACTCTCAGCAAGAACGTGAATAAGTGTATTTCCAGAAGTCTTGAACTCATGATTCAAAGATGGAGGTGATCATCTCTGTTACGTGAAGTCACAGGTTTGTCTTCCTATATTTAGACTGCGTCTACAAAGCCCAGAAGTTCAGGTGAGAGTAAATCACCTGTGGGTTTGTTGTGTCATGCTGCCCGCGGTGTGGCTAACGGCAGTCTTTTAACAATGCTTTAACCAGAAAACAGTGAGTGTGCAGAGTGTAGAGTTTGTGTGTGAAATGCATCAGGCTGTATATTGACCTTAGTGCTTGGTTGAAAAGGGATGAACAGTTCAGTGACACAACATTTATCTTTAAAAGCTCCGGGGCTCTCAGGAAGATGGGAGCCAGAATCAGCCGCATGCACCAGCTAAAAGCTTTTTATTTTAAAACCTAAGGATGTCTGCATTAAATCAGAAATGAAACTCAGAGCAGGTAGAATAGAAACTGAGAGTCTCTCCATTGAAGGCTGTTTCTTCCTCACCCCCACTCCCACCTCCAGAACTCAGTGTTTACACTGGGGCTCACCCTGTCAGGAGCAGCACCAATTATGGATGAGTTTTTATTTAGCTCCCTCTCCTCCCCCTCCTCCTCCTCTTCCTCACCCCAGCTCTCCTGCTGACTCCACCATTACCTCATGCATTTTTTCAGAGCTGCCCTATTGTTAATCAATACCTGAGGTTGACGATCGGGGCCCACAGGAAGCCGACTCTGGACCTGAACTTGGGCTTTTGTTTCATATTTCATTAGGATTAAGCCTTCGTCCTTTAAGGCTCTCAGCCTGACATTTGTCGGTAGGTGTGAGGGGAAGGTGCATCGAGCTGCAGCTCCACATTAATCTGATGCATTAGGAAAAACAGTTTAGTTTGATGGAGTTAGTTTATAGTCAGCAGTTATTGGATCAACAACAGTTTTGATAAGTCATTATGAAGCAAATATGTCAAACATTTGTTTATTAGTTTCTCAAATGACAGGATTTGCTGTTTTTGTGTTTCATTAGTCCAAAGTGAATATGTTTTGCACAAAAGAAGTTATTTGGAGACAAACTGGCTTCTAGGGAACTGGAATTTTCCCAGTTTCATCACATTTTATGGACTAAATGATTCGTCAAATAATCAACAAAATTCTCAGCAGATTAAACCACAGTGAGAGCAATCATCAACAGAGCTGATTAAAGACTACTTGTTTTTTCAGAAGACGCTTATTTGCCAGTTATTTTGAAAAACCAGTTGTTAGTTTTATGAAAAATGTCAAAAATTGACAGATTCAAGCTTCTCAGATGTAAATATTTTCAGTCTTTATTAGTCCTCTGTGATATTAAACTGAATATTTTTGAGTTTTGGACTGTTGGTCAGACAAAATGAGACATTTTAATACATCACCTTAAGCTCCAGGACCTTCTGATGAACATTTCCTGCTGTTTCCTGACATCTTATAGGCTGAACAACTAATAGATTAATAGAAAATAATACATTATTTAATTGATGACAAAAATAATTTTTAGTTGCAGCCCAAGTCTGTGTATTTTAGAGCTATGATGGAGGACATGGACCTGCATAGTTTTGGTCCAAGCCTGAGCCCAACCCACGGCAGCTTGTATGTACCCCCCAATGGGCGGTGGTGTGTCTTCCTCAAGCTTGGGTCCTCTACCTGAGGCCTGGGAGTTTGAAGGTTCTGCACAGTATCTTAGCTGTTCCAAGGACTGCAATCTTCCAGACCTCAGATGTTGTACCTGGAGTCTGCTAGAGCCACTCTCCCAGTTTGGGGGTCAAAAAACTTAAACAGAAAAGCACTGGGGAATTGGAGCAGTTCCTTGACCTTGAATTGGTTGGGCCCAATACAGTCCAGCAGACAATCAAAGCTCCACTGTATTTATACTTATGTATATGAGTATTTGGGGAAATGAATGTGGTTTTAAATGTTTTTTGACACTGTACACAAGGTAAAGAGATCCTTCTGCTTCTAAGAGGATCATACTTTGTGTTATTAAGTACGTGTGCCATCGACGATATGAATAACCTCACCACAGGGCCCTGTTACCGTAGTCTGCCTGCCACACTGCACATTAACGCCTCTGAATGCCCTCGCCCAGCATGGCAGCACTGCTGCCACCGTGTGTTCACCTGCCAGATCCTAATGAATATGCACTGTGTTCTCTGTCTTCTATCTCACGCATGGCCCCCCTCCCTTCACCTTCCTCCCCCCTCACTTCCTTTTACATCCCTGTGCATGGTGCACTCTCCCTCCACCCTCCATCCTCCTCCTCCTCCTCTCCTCCCTCCTCCAACACCACCTCACCTTCCTCCCCTCCTCACCCCGTTCACCCCTTCACCATCACTGACACCGCTGTATGTGTTGCTGCATGGCCTGTGGCCCCCGACGCCTCGCCTGGCACTGGCCTCCCACACCCCAGGACCACTCGGGCACTCTGGGCGCGGAGGAGTTCAAGGCCTGCCTGATCAGCCTGGGCTTCGATATCGCCAACGATGCACAGGTACTTAATCGTAGCCACGCCCACCCTGTGAGAGGTTTAACTGGTTTCTTTTTTTTTTCTTTTGTACTTTTCCCCCCGTGTTCTTCTCTCCCTCTGCTCCCACTTCCCGTTCCTCTAAAACTTTGTGATTCTTCACACACCTTGCAACGTCCACATTGTGGATCGGGCGGCTTTTCCTCCTTAATTCTGCTCTTTATTCATCCTTTACTCCTCCAATGATTTCCCTCCGCTATCCCTGCCACTCTCCACCTTTCTGCTCCTCCTGACCTTGACCTTGTAGAAGAGATCAGGATTCATGGATGCTGAAGACTTCAAAACCTGCCTTATCTCCATTGGTTACAACCTGGTAAAGCCATGAGCACCCTTCAAGTATCAAAGTTTGTTTGTGTGTGATTAACAAGTCCAGACGGACATGGTAATGGATAGAAGTAACCCTAATTATATGTATTTATTAATGTTTGTATATTGCATTTTACATCTTAAAAGCTCCATTACAGGATTCTGTAAGAATTTATGTTGATACAAATTAAAGATTTTCATTTAACAGTACTTTAAATTAATTTAAAACTCACTCATGTGATACAGAATGTGCTAAACCAAGTCAATCTGAGTTATATCTGTGTGTGTGTGTCATTTGGTGTGTGTTGCCGTGTTGCTGTGGGGACCGAGCTTCACTCTCCCTCTCTGTTGCCCCCAGGGTGAGAACGAGTTCTCCCGCATCATGAGCATAGTGGATCCAAACCGGATGGGCATCGTCACCTTCCAGGCCTTCATCGACTTCATGTCCCGCGAGACGGCCGACACAGACACTGCCGACCAAGTCATGGCCTCCTTCAAAGTCCTGGCAGGAGACAAGGTACAGCTTTGTGTTGTGGTCGAGTTAACAGTGTGACAGTGAAGACGAAATTCCTACATTCAGCTTCATTTGGCCAAAAGTTGGATATCCGGTGAATAAAGTGAAGAGACACAGATGTGTGTGTGGGTGGTGGTGCATGGCTGTTCTTATTTGGTGGAGCGATTTGTCCGGTTAATTTATTTTCTCCTCCTCAACAGAACTACATTTTAGCCGACGAGCTGCGCCGGGAGCTGCCTCCAGACCAGGCCGAGTACTGCATAGCCCGCATGGCCCCCTACACCGGCCCCGACGGCGTGCCCGGAGCCCTCGACTACATGTCCTTCTCTACGGCTCTGTACGGAGAGAGCGACCTCTGAACACTCTGTCAGTCGTCCTGACTCGGGACCACCAGCCTACCTGCTCTGATCACCGCCACGTCCTCCGACTGCCCCGCCACCAAACCCCTGTCCTACTACGCTCATTTTTTGTACGTCTCTGGCCTTATCTTTTTGTCATTATCCTCTGTCTCCTCCTCCTCCTCCTCCTCCTCCTCCTCCTCCTCCCACCTCTCCACCGCTCCCTCACACTCTGTCTCCTCGTTGTATTTGCTTCCCACGCAATGCAGCAGCTCTCCAGGTTTACAAAGAGGGAGAGAGAAAATGTTTGTTTCTGTTTTTATTTTCTTGTTGTCATTGTTTTTCTTCATAAAATGAATAAAGTTAACATATTTTATTATACTGAACAAAAAAAAGGTATTTTTCTTCACCTGATTGAAAATAAGAGACGAAAATTGTAATAAAGAAAAATTGCTATACTTCCTCTTCTTATCTTCTGTTTGCTGCAGGGATCACGTGTGTTTAATCGATTCACTGTGTTTGTGCATTTAGCTGACTCTCTGAATAGTAAACGCTTATATCAGAAACCTCTACAGTATGTATATATCCATATGTCCCTGGAGGAGCAGTAAGAACAGGATGCACACTTGTTAAAGTGATTATAGTGGCCTAAATACTCCCACATAAAGGTAGTGATTACCTGCATCAGGAGGAGATGTGCAGCACAGTGATGTGGAGTGGAGTGTGTGTTGTTTCCAGTTTTAGAGCTCCTTCTGAGTAAAATCTTTTGGGACATTTTCTTCAGTTTGGGATTTTATTATGTTCAAGAGGTTTAGATTATGATTACAGAGAGTCAGACTTAGGTTTGTGTTAACGAACAAATATTCAGCATGTTTTCCCCCCTGCACTTTCTGCAGGTTAGAGACAAATCATTACTTTCAATTTTTGGCCTTTTTTTAAAGTCATACCTCAGTTTTTAGACTTGCATTTCATTTATTTATATAGGAAATAAATTCGTAGCAGTTTATAAACAAAATTATCATACAGTGGTAGACAGAAAAAAACAGGTAACTAAAGGAAGCATGAAAACTGAAAAACAACATATGATTTGATTTACATGTTCAAGAAGGAGTCAGAGGAAGTTCAAACTTATTTATTCCCACCCCTTCTCTATATATTAATAACAGTCAATTATGTAGCTCCTCATCAGTGTAAAGCTGTACAATGATTAATTGCCAATAATATTTGTCTTACAGCAAGATATAAGATAATTACAAAAATACTTTGAAGATAAAAATTAATATATAAACCTTATTAAAAAAATAATCTCATCTTTATATCCTCATCCGATCATGACACACGTGTTTTGCTTTGTCAAACTATGCACATACACACAAACGTAACCTTGTGTGTTGGCTCAGTTAAAAACTATTTTTCAGCAGGTTCCTGTTATGCATCAAAAACACATTACAATACTGAATAAAAACAGAAACAGTGGTTTCCTTTGTGGTGAGGGACCAAATTAGGAGAATATTGTGAGAATAATTGCATGTAGAAATGTGTCTGAAACAGTAGGGGTGAGATATGGTCTGATCTTGATACAGACCAGGGGTGTGAAACATACGGCCCACCAAAGGGTCCAGTCTGGCCCACTAGACGATCTTCCTCACCTAATAGTGATGCATGTGCGAAGGCTGAGAGGAGCCAGGTTTCAGGAGCAAGTGAAACTCTGAGTAACTGTCTTCATGTAAAATGCTGCGCCCTGAACAGAATACAGTTCTTTTCTTTCACTTTAGTTTGGTGTGGTGATGTCAGGATACTACACAGGAGAGGAGATGTATAGAAAAATGTTATCTGATTTGTCTAAAATGTATGTCTTTAAACCAAAAAGGGGAAAATGTGTAGGTGTTTGTTATTAAGAGGATATAATGCAATGGTTTTACTGGTCTGGCGTACCTGTGATTAAATCAGACTGTATGTGGCCTTTGAAGTAAAAGGAGTTTGACACCTCTGTTGTAGACATACAGTTTCTGGTTGAGTTTCTTTGTTAGGTGCTGAATGAGGTGTTGATAAGTGATGGGCACGTCTAGGAATAATTTAGACTGTCCATCTCACAGGAAAACTAGACTTGGGCTCCATTATCAAAATACAAGATCAAGGTTTTATGGTGAAGTCCATATCATTTCAGTTTATGCTGGGATTTAGTGGTGCGTACAGGATCGACAAACAAATTTGCAATTAATTAAGTTACAACAAACTAAATCCACATAGTGAATGTGGAGTATTTAGGCTGCCCATGGAGGTCTGAGATCCAGAGGTAGTGTCCTGCTTTGCCTCCAGCCTTGGATCCGCCCTAAAGGTGGCACATACCCACACAAAGCTGCAAGGCTTTACTCAGGGATAATTGAGTGGAAACACCTGAGTGGGTCAACAGACAGGAATGACTGAAACCAGCGGCTGCAGAGATGGTAGGAAAACATTAAAAATGTTCTATGTCAGGTAAAATTGTCAGCACTGATGTAAAGTGTATGTGCTCGGGGAAGAAATGCTAACAATACAGAAGGTTGAAGAAACGAGGAAAAGCGACATTTCACGAAGCTAATTAACTTTAAACAGTCAAATATTAAACAAAACATAACGAGGAGAGTCCAAGCAACGACAAGACGAGTTTTGCCATTTAAAAACTTTTTATTACTTTTTTATTTCGACATTTTTAAACGCGTTTCCCCTCGCCATCCCTCAAACGGTCACATAGGTACCGTCGGCCCTGTCTCCTCACTACACGGACAAGTTAGAGCGTCGGACCCATTCAGGAAGCGTCCCGGCTGTGACCTGCTCCTCCGTGTTATCATCAGTGAAATGGACCTGTAGCTGCTGAGAGGAGTCATGTTTACCTTAAAGGCGTTGCGGAAAAATAAAACAGTCAAATATGGAGTCCCCATGCTGGTAAGTAATTTTTATTTTATCTTTTTGATGTATTTACGAACGTTGATTAGCTTGTTAGCTAACACTTTGCTAGCAGGTTAGCAGATTCATGTTACATGACGCTGCTGTCAGATGTCAGTTATTTTGTAAGTGTAACGTTACTGTAAATATTAACAGATATGTCAGTTATTTTTCTCTTTACCATGTTTCAAAGCACAGTTTAACGCTACCTAGTGTTACCCTTGTTCCTCATTTGCTGTATCCAACTTTGAATTATTTAACATTCTCTTGTTTAGTTTGATTTATAAAAGCATGTGTGCTTAAAGGTAAAATAAAGGTGCTCCATAGAGCCGTTGTGACTTGTATCGACACAGACTGTCATTCACTGTTAACTGATCAGCACCAGGATTAATGTGTAGTGCAAATTTCAAGAGACTTCAAAGCAGTGTGACTTTTTAGAGGAAAGTTAAGGGAACTTATAGACTGTACTGAGCGACTGATTTTGTATCAGTAATTCATACATAAGTGTTAAAGCTTTAACTCCGTTTAAAACCCACTTTCAGATTTGTAAAAACATTATTTTATTTATGAAGGCAAGAAAAATGTAGTGTTCACGCATTGTGTCCATTCATACATCAATGGACTAGGTCTGCATTAAAGATCCTTCTTTTATTTTGAGTAGATAAGTCAGATAAAATTGTCCAGGTTCTGGGTGAAAGTCGTGAAGCAGCTAAATATTATAGGATGCTGATGCAATGTGGAGGAGATAAAGTTGTGTCAGCTGAGACTTACCTGAGGAAGAGATTTGGGTGTTTCATTTGACGAACAGGAATGCGCTAAGATAAGGTAATTTTATTGTAAATTTTATTCTCATTTATTTATTTTCCCTATTTTCTCCGGATACACATTCCCTCCAGCTTACTTGCAGAATTTTATTTACGATGCCCTGTCATGTCTGTTTTTGGTTAATAATGAGTGGGGTATATTCATGATTTGCGACTATAGTAAGGTTGACCCCTCTTGGTTATGGGGTGGGACGGGTAGGGGTGTAGTTGTTTTGTTGGTTTTTCTTTTTAATTAAAAAATAACTGAGTCATAAAAAAAATCCTACATTTACATTTGTCAAACCTGGACTTGATTAACAAGTAGCCCCCAGTATCTGTTTAAAACATAGTTTTCAGCTTTATGAAACCTTTATGTTACTTCTTAAAACTCTAAAAAAGGATGATTTATCTGCTTTTCTGTTCCAACCTGGCCACATCAGATCAGCTCATGATATTTTTTTTTTTTTTATAAATTTATTTAATCTTTATTTAACCAGAAAAACCTCTTGAGGTTAAACATCTCTGTTTCAAGAGTGTCCTGTTAAAGACAGGCAGCAACATAAGCTACACACAGACAGCAAAGAACAAAAATAAAGAATAAAAATGTACAGCTCTAAAACAAGCAATATAAAACACAAAATAAGATTACTACAAAGAAAAGCCTAAAAGTATGTTAAAATTATTATTAGACTTTAAAATCTGGACTGCACTATCGTTAAGACCCCGGAGATATTTTTAGATTCAGCAAAGTTACATACATCATTGCCACAAGTGGATAGAAATTTATTGCAAAAGTTTTTGATGTGGACCTGGACCCTTTCTTTGTTTTCCTCAGTAGAACAAAGGTTTCATAAATCTGACTCTAAGTTTTAAACAGTTACCAGAGTCTGCACGTCACTGAGGTCCAGGTTTGGCAAGTGTAAATCTAGAGATGCATAACCAGACCTTGTCTCATTGTTGTCACGACGGAGAAAATGCAGTGAAATCACCATTGCTTTGCTTTCATAAATAAAATGTTTCACAAACCTGACATGTTTGAAACAGCATTAAGGCTTTGTCCAGGATGTCTAACATCCCTTTATCATTTACATTCTGTTGCTGTGTAATGCCCTTACATCACTAACCAAAGTACGTAGGATTAAATAACTATAACATGCATACTTTCCATGTTTTTTTTTTCAGTTGCTCGTAGTCGGAGGTTCCTTTGGCCTGCGAGAGTTTACACAAATTCGTTACGATGCCCAGAAGATCAGAAAGAAGGTATGTAGTAAATTAACTCTGCCATTACACATATTTCATGAAGAGTCACTTATAATAAATGTGACAGCAGATTAAGTTTCCCACATTTCCACCATCATAAGAAACCAGTGGAAAGAACCTCCTCACAGTCACGTCACGGGTCAGAGTAACAGGGCCTTTCCCAAACTGGACCCTCTCCACTCCCACTGTGTCACGGAGTGTTACTCTGTTTGTAGTCACTGTCACAGCTGAATGAAGCTCTGTTCATTAAGGTGTAGAGTATAAATACAGCAGCAAGCTTCAGGATGAACTTCCCTCTCTGTGGCAAAAAGAGAGACTGTCGTAACTTTTCAAAACCTGGAGAAAATAAAACTTATAAACATCTCACTTTTTCACTCTGATACAACACTTCAGAGTTAAATAAGCACGTCTGTAGTCTAGACTAAAAAAGGCTATATTTGATCCTAGGATTCCGGGGCATCTATTGGCAGAAATTGTATTCACAGCTATGTTTTCATTAATTTATAATCACCTGAAAATGAATGAGAATTGTTTTGTTATTACCTTAAAATGAGCTGTTTCGATCGATATATAGAGCGGGTCTTCTTCCACTGAGTCCGTCATGTTGTTTCTACGGTAGCCAAAAATGGACAAATCAAACACTGGCTCCAGACAGGGCCATTTGTGTTTTTGTGTCAGCAGCTTCTCCTACACACGTGGCACACAGGAGATGTTTCAGTTCTGCACCATCACTGCAAGATGCCACTAAATCCTACACATTACATCTTTAACATTTGAATGACAATATTAAAGGTCTTTTCTTTGAACAGTTTATGTTTGTACTGGTCGTCGCACAGAACTTACATTTGTATGGAGCATCTCCCATCATGAACACAACACAGCGTTGCATGTGGTCTGTCGACTCGCTGTTGGAGGGTCACTTTGGTTTGGGCAATGGCGGGCCTCCGTGTGGATGCAAAAACAGAGTAAGAAATGGACTGATGAATAGGGACACACGATAATAACAGCACGTTGTTGGTAGTGGCCGATACTGGCCTCAAACGAAATAACATAATCAGCCAACATGCCAACATATTGGTACGTCATCATTATAGATATGAGAGTGGTATCCATCTTCTCGGAGTAAGAGTATTTCCCAAAATATCAGACTATGGCTTTTAAAAATAAAAGGAAGAATTTGCATTTAACATTAAGGTTTTAAAGAAATGTGTTCTCCAACATAACCTGCAACCTTATGAATTTTAATCATTTTATAGGGATACACGATAATATCGGCACATCATTGGTATCAGCCAACATGCTTTTTCTTATTTCTTATACGTTTAAAAGTATTGTATTTCATGTCTCCATCTGCTGGTGGGCCATCAGGATAGGAGTATGTATACATAATATGATGTTAATTCCACTACAGAAGAGACTTGATCACTAAAATTAGGTGGGGTAAAAAGTGGATATATAAATATCTGTATCGTTTATAGACCAAATAAGTTGTTACATATCGGATATAGGCAAAACATCCAATATTGTGCATCACTATTGATGATTATGCTTTTATTTTGCCACCTCATAGCAATCCTAATTAATCCTAATCCTAAGTAGAATTTCAAAGAAGTATTAGTTATGGGCCTTTTAATGTTGATAAATTTTGTCTTATAATTATTATCGATGTTTGTTTATTGGCCCGCAGCCTCTTGCCATTTTGCACAGTTGGCCCCTGGGCCAAGCTCGTTGAGTTGCCCCTAAGTATAGAGGGTGATTTGTGAAAGACCCACAGTCTCTGTACTCCCAGTGAGCAATGACTCCTCCCAGTGGTCAGACACGTAACTGCAGGTGAGGTTCATGTTTTTATCCAAGGGGACAGTTTAAAAATAGCACACACATAGAGATGTTTCAGTGTCTGTGAGGATGGCTGTGATCTCACAGTGCAGTGTGTTTGATTGCAGCTTATTTATTATTAGAATTAGAAACACTGTGTATCCATCATGTCATGTCAGACACTGCACGCATACAGCACTGACAGGCTTTTCTAACCCATTTAGTGAGTCAATACCAGAGCAAGAAGTGAGAACAAGCTCTGATAATTCATTAAATGACAGACACGATTCATTAAAATGACAGAGGACCGGGCCTTCATTAGACGCCATCACAATGTGATGAGCTGGCTGCGAGGGGAAGTGGCTGTTTTGTGCTATTTTACTCTGACAAACGCCGGTGCGCGTCATGTGGGTGGGAGCCAGATGGCAGGGGCATCTTTTCTTATTACTGTCCATGCGAGGCGGCACTAGACTGTGGATGACGGCGGTGTATGGAAGCACGGCGCCCCTGGCAGCAAGCCTGTGCAGCTGCCCCCACACGACTTGCTCTCGTCTGACGGGGCCTGCGGCACACCGAGCCTCTCTCCTCTCCTCTCTCAGACCCTGTGGAGTAGAGATTCAGCTCTTCTCGGCGTGTGTGTGCACATGTAATTTAATGCATGGAATATCTGAACAGTTGTCAAAGTGCACATGATTAAAACCGCTCTTCCGGTTCTGTTATCAGACGATTCCATTATTGTGCTCTCACAGATATTTGCCCAGTTAAATCATTAAAGCTGCTGACTGATGGTTAAGTTTCTCTATGATCCAATTAGCATTTTCTCCTCAACCATCTCATTTGGCTGCAGGCACAGATGAACTTCAAGGCCTTTTGTCTTCCTTGTCCAGGTTTTGTGTGAGTTTTCTTCATCTCTGATGCTCCCAGGTTGTTTTTGAGTTTCAGGCTTGTGGCAGTTGAAGAAAAGCTAATAACACCTCCATAGTAGGTATCACACTAATTACTTGGGCTATTAATTCCCTCGTCTGAAGGCTGCAAAATATTCCATATATTATTTATTTGCTGTAGTAATGTAGGGCTAATTAAAAATCAATCACGGAATTATGAAACTCATCAGTCACCCGAGTAACTGCCGCATTATTGCTGTGAAATATTAGAACTCATTAAAAGTAATGATTCAGAATGGGATTCATTTCAGTCCTATTCTCGAGCAAAATCAATTTGAATTGCAAAACCCAGATAGCTCCATCGGACTCGACTCTCCTCCAAAACCCTCTGACACATAATTTTTATGTTTTTTTACTGAACCTGGTGATGTTGATGCCAAATCGAGCAGAATAATTTACAGAGTAAAAAGAAGGTAAATTGGATCCTCCCTCCAGGTTTGGAGCAGCTAGACTTTGACGCTGGTGAGAAAAGGTCTTCAGCGCTTTCCACACAAGGTTACGGGTCTGATTTTAAAGGTCCAGTGTGGAGGATTCAGGTGAGATATTGGCAGAAATGGAATATAATAAGTGTGTTTTCTTTGGGGTATAATCACCTGAAAATAAGAAAAGTTGTGTTTTTGTTGCCTTAGAATGAGCTGTTTATATCTACATTGGGTTCTTGTCTACGAAGTCCGCCATGCTGCACCACCATAGCCTTGTTTCTACCAAACACTTTCAGTATGGTACCTCTGGAACCAACAGTAACCCTTCAGACATGGTACCTAGACCCTAGCGTTTCCAACAGGCGGGGTTGTTGTCACTCACTGCTCCGTCCAGCACTCACTGTATTTCCTCTTTTATCAGTCTACACCTCGTTTATCATCCACAGAACGAGGCTGCACGCCTTTTCAGAACAAAATAGAACAGGCTGCAGTGAGAGTCTCTCTCCATGGGATATTTAAAAATAGCAGGTTTGTACATTTAGTCCTTCACAGGCAAGCTCAGGGGTTTAGTGTTGCTGTAGCCCACAGGAACAACGCTCCACAACAATTTTTTGCATGCAGTTCACATAATCTGGTCAAAATTAATACATATAAACCCTGGAAGATCCACTCATTACTTAAAGTGTGTGTCATATAAAAACCAAAGTGATGGTCAAAGTTGTCACAGTGAAACTTAAGGTGTGTTGATGGATTCACGTCATCATCTCATGCAGTGAGTAACATTACAAGTGAACGTTCCACCTTTAAAGTTGCTGGCAGTCGGCCCAGTGAATGAAGTTATTGTTTCTCAGAATCCAGCTGCTGTGAGAGGCAGCAAAACATCCTTTCATTTTATCATTACAGTTTACTAATAAACCTCTCCACAGTATGAACAGTGGTTACATGAGCCTCAAAACCTGCCACAACTCAGCCCTGAGCAGAGTGACCGTCCTCTACTGACCAATCAACAGACTGCAGTGTTGACAGCTCCACCTTTTAGTACCAGATCTGTGTGCTAGGTACCCCAACAGAGGGGGGACCAAACATGGTGACGGTACGGAACAGTTCCATTGGTACCATCCACAACTTTTCACAGTGGAAACAGGGGAAAAAAGCGTACCGACTTGAACTGTACCGTACTGCTTTGTAGATTTGGGGCTCATGTTTCTACAGTAGTCCAGTACAGACAAGCCAAACACTGGCTCTTAAAAGGGACATTTGCGTTTTGTGTCGGCCACCGTAGTTAGAAGCCCCTCCAGGATAAGAGCATTGGAATAACTTGGATTTTTTAACATGAAACTGCTTTATTCAGTGTTTTTTCTGGTTTTAATCAGTGGGTTCGTTTGTTTTGGAGAGGAGGACACTCCCTAACGAGGACCATAAATTTAAACATAAATAAATTCTAACTGGGAGAAATTTTAGCTGGTTGTAATCTGCAGTCCTCACCACTAGATGTCACTAAATCTCCCTACATCTTACACACTGTTCCTTTAAGTCCAAACTTGTTCACTTCCTTCAGCATTAGGAGCTTTAAGGCATCTTCACCACAATGAGAGGAAACACAATTAGCAGCAGCAACTGTTTCACCTCCTCTGCAGTAGGGGTGTGCCAGATCATCTCGTTCACGCTAACACTGGTAGGATTTTTACTATATGAAAAATTCATATAGTGATATTCGCAATATTTTGACTTGTTGACATATTAAAGTCATATTGTTACCAATGGCAACAACAAGCATGGCTGAAAGTGAAATTATTATAGATTCCGCGGTGGTCCCAAAAAGAGGAGCAGCTTCAGTAGTGTGGAATAAACTGTGGCGTCCTGAATGTTTTATGAACAGCCCCGGACTTCTCAGACTCTTTTAGTGACTTACCGCTCAGAGGGAACTCATTCAGCAGCTCCTCTGGCAGCAGCACGGCGTCTCCCTCTCCTCTCTCGCCGTGCGCACACAGGAGTCGTGTCATCAAGTGATTTTGTCATAAACCTTTGGTAATTTAAACCTACGTGATGCTCACGGCTCGACAAAAAACTCCATATATGTGAAAGTGCAATAGTTGTGGTATCATAACAGCCTGTCACAGGTTACAGTGTGATGATTAGAGGAGAAATGGCAGAGCATAAAGGTCCAGGTGGAAAAAACCAAAACCATCATTTAGGATTTCACTAAAAGAAGGAAATCATTCTATGTTATCGCAAAAATATCCTGAAATATCTTTATATTTCGGGACCATATCGCCCACCCTTATTCTGCAGATGTCATCATTTATACATTAAAGAAATACTACACCAAGAAGAAGAAGAGGAGGGGGAGGTGCAGCTTCAGTTGAAAGTTGTAACCATAAAAGACTCTAAACCAGTTTAATAATTCCTCGTCTTACATTCACAACTTTGTTTAAATTTTTCTCCCCACAAAATCCATCTCCCAAAGGAAGAGCCCCTCCATGTCTTTGCCTTTCTTCTCTTCATCTCGTCCTCTCTTTGATTTGTTTTCCTTGTCTCCGTGTTGCTGTGAGTGCGTGACGTTCTGTTCTAACGTTTCTTCTCCTCTCTGTCTCTCAGCTGGATCCCTCACTGGAGGCCAAAGTGAACGTCCAGAAGCAGTCAGCCATACTGGAGGAGGAGTACGAGGTAAGGAGACACAAGCGGGGCACCCTGAGGGGGGGAGAGGAGATGAAAGAAACGAACTGGTGCGGTCTGTCGGCAAGAAAGAGAAGCTGGTAAACAATGTGTGCTTTTGTAGGGTTCCATCGAAATGCAAGATGTTTGAAAGAAACTCTTGTGCAGATGGGGTTGAGAGGTAAGAACAAGGGGTTTGAGTCTGTAACTTTCATATCATTTATGACCTGGTGTTTAGGAGAAAATTGGGGCTGTGCAATCCTTAAAAAAATCCTGTCCCATAAGTTAATACTTCAAGTGTTTGTTGTTGTTGTTTTATTAATTTATTTTGATTAAACAGATATTATAGTGCGGCTCATATTTCCTCTACCATTGATTAGGTGTGGTAAATCGCTCCAACTGTAAGCTGTGTTGCTTTAATTATGTTTCAGAGTTGTTCTTATCCTAACAAAAGCAGTCAGTACAGATGTAATGTTCAGATCTGAGGACAAGATGCAGATTATCAGCACTAAACTATTGATGATGATCACTTCTCAATGAATATTGCTCATAGGCAGTGGGGCTCAATGTCAGGACTCAGCGCCTGTGAGGTATCGACTGCAATAACGCAGTTCCAAGTAGTATCAAATCCAATCAAATGATACCTGCATTCAATCCTTTTTATACCCAGATCTAGAAAAGAAAAGACTATTTGTGTGGTTTCGCTCGCAGCCAATCACTGCATGTTCTTGAAATTTGAGGGGAAAAATAAATAGCCCCATTTTTCTCTAGCAAAGCGCTTAAAAAGTCCTTGAAATTCAAATGAACCACTAAACACTGTTTTTATATTTTGATCAGTGTCCATCAAATCATTGTAATGGACCTTTTGCTAAGCCCCGCCCCTTTGTGATGGTCCAACAAGCCGTCGTAGTAAGCATGGAGCCCACACTGTAACTAACTGCACGGAGAGAAGCAGACAGAGGGGTCTACAGTCTGTGTTTGAAGGATATATCCAGGATGTCAAACTGACTCAGCAGCAACAACAGGTTAAAAAGACAAAGATAGTTAGAAGCTAAAGCTGAACTATAGGCTACAGATCACAGTGTAAAAGTGGACCACCACATCACTGCTGATCGCCACACAAGACAATGAATATAAAGGGAAACTTTGCTGATGTTGAACCAGCTGTGTGGCATCACAGTGTGTGCAGATGAACAGTGTTTGGCTTCACCCCGTGCTGCTGCCAGCACCTGGACAGAGATATTGGATAAAGCGAGATACCCCACTCAGCTCACTTCCTGATTCAGTGACGTCAGCACCACGCCCCCACAGGAGACTTGCGGCAGCTCTGAATGTATTGTCGTCAATGAGAAAAATGAACGTGATCACAATTTATGGTCAGTTCTTTCGCCCTGTAGTCACTAAAGTAAATATTGGGTTCATTTTTCACAAGCCACACATCTTACCAACATTCTGACACTAAAGCTGCATTTTTCATCCGCACAGATCAAGAGAAAGTTAAATTTGTTTGAGCCCTGTCCGTCTCAGAAAACAAGTTCTCGCGAGATCTCGTGATCTTGATAAACAGGCGGTAAAATCAGGCGCAAAATCACAGTAACAGTTATTTACCGCTAGTAATAAATTAAAGATGCCCAAGCTTTATGCAGCAATAGGCTGCAATAATAGGAAGAATGTAAAGGGAGAACAGGCTCTGATTGGAGGGAGAGCTAACCACGCCCACTTAGGAGACAGGAAGAGTAACTGTTTTCTTAACATTGGATAAGCCTATGGTGGAGTTTCTCCTTTATCCGATATCTCTGACCTGGACCTCCACCGCTGGACGATCTGGGATCTCCAATGCTCATCAGTGCACACTGTGATGACACAGAGCTGGTTGAATATCAGCAAAGTTTCCCTGCTTCCCTTCACTGGTTCCTGTACAGCAGGGTCGCTCTATGTGTCACATTTATAATCATTAAAAAGCAAAAGCAGCATGTGTATACATTCAGTAGGCTATATCTTCAGTAGCTAGCTAGCTAATCCTACACTTTTTAGGGTCTGATTTTGGTTTTGGAACAGGGAAGAAACGTATATCTTTTTCCAACCTCTCCAGGTAACGAGTATCATTAATACACGACGTGCCCCAGGCACAACATTTAGCTCCAAATCCACAAAACCAGCCTGAAAATGAAGGAAATCTGAAACCACTGCATTAGAGTCAATGGACGGGGGCGGGACTTAGAGAAGGGTCAGTTAGATTTCTCTAGAAAGTGTCTAGAAGTGTCTTGTGCCACCCCTCAGTGTGACCAAGAGTAATTTAAGTAGTTCAGAGAATTCTTCTGTTCACATGATGGGTATTGAATGATGAAGAAAAATGAAGTGCTCTGTTGGTATTTATGACTTTAAGGGTTCTGGTATTGTAATTTATTAAATGACATCCAGCCCTAACAGGCAGCTGACAGTTGATTATCAGCTACTCTCAGTTTAAGGAACTAATACTGCTGAACAACCGCATTCAAAGGCGGAGTCAGACGCCAGCCGTCACACACACATCACCTCATTTAAATATGGGGATAACTGCGCACGCGGTCTCTCCTGGAAGACAGGTGGGTGTGAAAGTCAGATTATCTGTTTCACAAAGTTATAGGAGGCAGACTCAGCCCGTCTAATCCGACGTCAGAGAGATGTGGGGGGAGGTGGGTTTACCGGAGCTGTTCTCCAATCCGACAAGCTCCTCTGAAGAAGCATGCTGGCAGCTTAATTCTTGCCTCCCCTCACCTGCGTGACACACCAGATGGTCAGAGTTTTCTACATCTGGCCATTTCAGAGTACATGAAGTAAAAAACGGAGAAAAGAATCCTGAATTGACTTTGAAATAATGTCTGGTGTTCATGCAGGAACACATGGTCATGTTTTCAGACACTGTTTAATCTGCGTCTGTTCAGATACTGAATTACTGGCATCCTGAATCTGGATCTGCTGTGCTTCTCTGTATTGTGTGTCTTGATTTATAGTGTTACAGTGAAGGGTGTTCGTATTAAATGTGGCCAAAGTGTCACATAATAAGGTGAACGTGTGTAGAAGTAATCCCTGTACGTCAGTTTAGAAGTGCCGTGCCACACCAAACAGTGCCAGAGATGGACCTTCTCCAGAGTAGGTCCAAAAGCTGAGCTGCCCGCCTTCGAGTGGGTAGTGGTTACATCTTGCCGACCGCAGCCAACTCCTGACTACTGCCGCTTCTCCCCCTCAAACAAGCCATGTGTGTTGTGAGACTCCTCACCTCTGTCTGCAGGAGACCAGGGGGAAAGGCGTTTTTAAAAGTCTCTGTTTTCAGCTCGCAGTATTTTTGTAGCTTTTAACTGAACCTCTGTGGTTTGGAGTTTCTCTCCTGCGTCCTGTTTTTACTTGAGATATCTGATTTATTTTACTGTGTCATGTTATCTGCCGTATTAAAAGTTGCTTCTCAAAAACTCAACATTTCCTTATTTTGCTGCTTCACAATAAAAGTTTGTACATAACAAAATAACAGGAGACTTTTATTGTGAAGAATCTGTAGGAAATTAAGTGTTATTACTGAATTAGCGGAACTTTGTTAGCATCTTCTCTTCAATAAAGACAAGTCTAGTAATATGTCAAGGAGGAAAGTGAAAGCAGAAACAGTGAGATGTTGATGAAGAGCTGCGGACAACAGGCTCTTACTGCACCTCTGCTAATAGCTCACTTCCAACAGGTAAACTTCTTTTACCTGCCCTGCTGTGGAAAAACACATGCAGCAAAAATAACAAGGGACTTCAGCTGTGGATCAGCCCGCTGCTTTTAAACGTCAAGCCGTCATCAGTTTAGGACACACTAGCGGTTGGGTCGGTTCTCGGTAATACCAATTCGGTTCGGTACTCCGTCTTGGACCGGGGTTTTTTTTTTTTTTTGGAGACCGACCGGACCGCATACTCGGGTGGAATGTACGTGGAGCGGACGCCGCGGAGGTCCGCCCGGTAAACGTGGACGTCCGCAAGCCCTGTGCTCACAAAGCATGACCGCGTGGACTCCGCTCCGCGCACCAGTGTCACCAGTGTCAGTTTTCACATCGCGGGGATTTTTCACAGACATTTTTACACGGAGTTCGCTCCGCTTATAGTAAGCCCGAGTCTGTGAGCACCTGTGTCTGCCTCTTCACCAAGCGCACAGCAAGCAGGAGAGAGAGGGGGGTGGGGCGGGGACTGAGCTAGGAGGTGCGAGTGCGCATGTGCCGAGGCCTCTACTGTAGCCTGGAGTTTGTTTAATAGTGACGGGGAGTCAATAATGGCGGACAATTTAGTCTCAAAGAAATCAAAGAATGCGCCACTATGGCAACACTTTGGCTTTGAGCCAGACGAAGGAGGCAACCCTTGTTTGCACTGATTGAGTAAGCTGCAAAATTTATTTGTAAGGAATACAAGAAACAACTTGTTACTGTCACTCTGTTGTCCTAAGGTCGTTTTTATTTTAAATTAGTCAATTGCGTCCCCAAGTGGCGAAAATCCGGTATTACCAACTTGATGCGTTTTTTTACAAAAACCGGACCGTTTTTTTTTTTTTTTTTTTTTTTCTCATACCGACCCAACCCCAGGACACACCTTCAAGAAGCTGGCCATGTTGTAATGGAAATGCAAATCCCTGCTGCGCTGGACTGATGGCCCAAACCAAGCCAGCCCACGGCTGTTGAAAAAGGGGTGATGGATTTCTTTTTATGGTCATGCTCCAGGCACACTAGAGCAAGTGTTTGCATTACTTAGTCTTCACTGCTACATGTAGCTACATGCTAACATCAAAGGAACATGTCATCTTGATTGCCAATGTTGGAAATTAATCCCCGATTTCAAATCACATTCCTGCTGGAACGTGTCTGGTTGTGTTTAGAAGCTTTTAATTGGTGATTTTTCAAAGTAGAAAGTGCCAAAAGTCTCTGTTGCAGTCCTTCAGTGGCTGCAATGACCATGTAGAGATACGGAAGAACTTGAAACTCTGACTTATCAGAGCAGACTGGCCTTTTTCAGGAGGGGGGCTCACAGGCACCAAAATGGAGCATTTCAGACAGAGGCTGAATACAGGTGTTTCAGCACAGACAGTATGAGAATAATAAAGTGTTATTCTGACTATTAAAGCATGTATTAGTGTTCTCACCAAAATCCAAAAGCCTGAACCTGAAAATGAACATAACATGTCCTCTTTAAACCTCCTGCTGTTGTTCTGTCCTCTCTGCAGAAGTTGAGGGAGGTGAATTTGGATGAATGGAAGAACATCCGTGGCCCTCGCCCCTGGGAGGACTCCAAGGAGTACCAGGAGCAGCAGCGCAGCAGGCAGAATAAAAATGTTTGAGGTCCAGGCACGCCAAGCACACACAGCATCAGGACGGACTAGATACGTGTGGATTGAGTGTGCGGTGAAGTCGTCGCTCAGAGCCAAGTATCCCATGGGCTCGACTTGTTGGATCTGTGTTCAGTGTCTGTAACAAGTCTCTTTTGATTGCAACACATTGAGGACGACTAGTGGTCAAAAAGGAGCCCGAAACTTTGAAATAACTTCAAGGTTGATCTTAAATTTAAAGATGTAAAAATAAAGCAGTCCCATGTTGATGGTTCTTCTCCCCTCTGAGGAGTTTCTAATATAAACCAGCCAGTAGGTGGCACACCTGTGTCCTGCTGCACCTTACCTTTCACACTGAAAGCCAGGAAGGATATATATAAATATATATGTCAGTGTATGATTTCCATGTCTCAATAAATTATGTTCTATTGATCCAAATTGTTACTTTTACTTTTATTTTGTATTTGACAAAAGCTGGTAGACGTGGTGAGTCTTTGTTTACAGCAGTATCACATTGATTTACCAGTTGAAAGTATAAAAGAATAAATAAGGCAACAGTCCAGCCTTTCCTCAGGCTTTATAGGTCTCGACAGTAATCTGTTTCTCTGACAGTTATTACTTTGCAATGCGCTGGATTTATTACGTTTATAATGGAAATAGTATTACCTTTTTGCTTTTTTTTTGTTCGACAAAGCAAAGGAACATGATTTTTGCTGCATGTCTTCAGATTGTACGTATAAATAATGTTTGTGTGACTGACAGATAATATGTACCGCCTCCCCTCTTTCAGTTTGTGAAGTAGGATGTAATGAATATTCCTCAGGTGGAGAGCTCTGTATGAAAACGTCCAGGGATACATTTTCTGTAATCACATTTTTTATGCTCGTGATTTTTGAGTCACTTTAATACCCAGTGTTTCCGAGGCTCGGGACTTTACGGCGCACAAACAACAGCTCATATGTGAGGATTATTTTCTCATGCACAGGTTGTGCTGATACTAAATCTCACTGCTTTGTCGTCGGTTGTTTGGCCAAGCTGCTGTGAAGCAGAAATTGCCTCTAATCCACCAAACAGATTAATCAAGTAATTAGTCACAGGATCAGCAGATCAGATCGAGCTGTTCTCGTTGAACTGTGTGTTGATAAAAATGTCTGGTGTGTTCTTGTTTTTCTTTAGAGGTCTCTAAATTTAGAGGCGCCACATGTTGGTGCATCTGTAATCTTAGAGGTCAATCACACACCTTATTCTGGATGCTCCACAGGCCTGCCCTGCGGCTGTTTGTGATTAGATATGTACTGTCTGAAAATCAAAACAACAGCCAGGACGCTGCTGTTTCTAACTGTGGGAAAGAAGAAATATTGAGTTTGATGAGAGTCGATAAGACAATCTGAGCCGCACTGGAGGAGGATGATGATACTGGAAGGTTTGCTGCAGTGGTGGAAGAAGTGTCAGTCTGAAAACCTCTGCTCTGGATGATTCACAAACACTGATGGATACACTGATAGGTACAGAGCCCCAAGTCCTGAGAGGTTATTTTTAATGTGTTCTGCACACAAGTCTAATATCTTGAGGGAACAAGTTACTATCATGTGCACATCTTATCCTGTTATCTTGTTCCAAAAAGATAATTTGCCTGTGTGCATAAAATAACAGGCTTACTTGTTAGCACACAACAATAATTGTGTGCACAAAATAACTCTTTCCCACATGATAACTTGTTCCCAAAAGATAATCAGCTTGTTCCCATAAGATAATTATTTGCACAAGATAATATCTTGTTACCACAGTATAAGAACTGACCACAAGATAAGAACTTGTTCCCACAACTTAATTGTTTGCACAAGAAAATCAACTTTTTCCGACAAGATAATCCTCATATGTGCACAAGATAATAACTTGTTCCCTCAAGATAATTGTTTGCACAAGATAATCAACTTGTTCCCACAGGATAATAACTTGTTCCTCCCAGATAACTTGCTCCCACAAGATAATCAACTTGTTCCCACAAGATAATAAACATATACCCACAAGACAATAACTGACCACATAATAACTTGTTCCCACAAGATAATCAGTATGTGTACACAGGTAACAACTTGTTCTTGCAAGACAATTAACTTATTACTACAAGATAATCAACTTAAGTGCACAATATAATATCTTGTTCTCATGAGATCACCAACTTGTTTCCAAAAGATAATTGGCTTGTGCGCACAAGATAAAATAATATCACCTTTTGGGAACTAAGGGTCTCCATACATAGACTTTTTCTTTGGTGGACAGTAGTTCTGATGAAAACTGTTAACAGGGTGTATGTTTCTTGATGATCTGAGTGAACTAACCATCACAATGTCTGACAGTTTTTACCATGGACATATTCTGCAGATAAAATGGTGTGTAAAACTATTTTAGGTGGCTGCACTTTGAACCGGATATTCCACTTATTTAGTCACTTTTCATTTCCTCCTTAAATCCACATCATATGGTATTTATTAGCTGTGTGTTTGGTGAACCATCCGTAACCTCACTAGCTGCACAGAGCCATACCGCCTTGCAGCTCCTCCATAGAGCTCGCTGCAAATGAACCATGTGAAGGAGACTTTAGAGTGCTGAGGCAGAAGATAGTATGTTACAGTACACTGCGGTTCTTTTATGCAGGATGGGTGTAGTCGTCAGAGGCCAAAATGGGTCAGTCCGGGAGGCCTCTCGATCGTAAGCGAGCTGTCAGGACGCATGATCAGTTGGCAGCCCTAATTTAAAGGAGGCACAACCCCCCTTCACGTGCTTTTTAATTTTTAATTTGAAAATGCAAGAAAACGCCATCAAATATTCAGAGGACAAGGCTAAGAAAAGAGGAAATCAAATTCAATATTTACTACTTCGGGGAAACTAATGAGGTCTTAGAAACAAGAAGCATGTCGCTGGTTGAAAATCGGGGCTCTGAAACACTAAATAACTTTAATCCCTCGCAATTTCTGAGGACCCCTTACAGCTATGGGCCCCTGAATCATTCACATTTTCCTGTCTGCTCCGTGGCCCTGTGAGTTGGTTTTTCCTGCTGCCAGATCTTCACAGCTCTGATGTGGAGACACTCTGCAGAGGAACCAGGCAGCTCTCCGTCTTTTTCGGCCCTAGATGAATGAAAAATCCCTCCTCCCAAACACACTCGCACACACACACACACACACACACACTCCAGATGAAGATTAATTACTACTGTATTATCTCACAAGAAGACATTCCTCACAAAGATTAGAGATTTAAATGAAATACAGAATATTAAACCATATTCTGTGAATGGACTGAGGATCCCCCGGTAAATTCTCAAACCAGGCTGAGAGCCCAACATCATGGTGTTTCTTACTTCCTTGATGTGGAGTCTGTCCTTTGTAAACCAACAGACTGTCTCGTACGGAGGGAAACGCAGTTTGATTTCTTTCTGCACAGGCAGAAAAGTGAGACTGTCCGAAAATATGTGGTTACTTAATTAGTTGGATTCCTCAGTTTCGCCTACGGATGCAGCACAAGCTCACCTAACGCTCAAATTACAATCACTGGCCACTTTATTAGGTACACCTTGCTAGTACTGGATTGGATCCCCTTTATAATTCTTGTTGGCATAGATTCAACAAGGTGCTGGAAACATTCCTCAGAGATTTTGGTCCATATTGACATGATGACATCACACAGTTGCTGCAGATTTGTCAGCTGCACATCCATGATGAGAATCTCCCGTTCCACCACATCCCAAAGGTGCTCTATTGGACTGAGATCTGGTGACTGTGGAGGCCATTGGAGTACAGTGAACTCATTGTCATGTTCAAGAAACCAGTTTGAGATGATGTGAGCTTTGTGACATAGTGTGTTATCCTGCTGGAAGTAGCCATCAGAAGATGGTCTTCTGCTGCTGTAGCCCATCTGCTTCAAGGTTGGACGTGTTGTTGGCTGTTTTGAGCGCTGTACTAGGTCTGTTTGTCTGTCTGTGGACAGATTTTGTCACCACAATAGCATCACAACTGCGCAAGATCAGTCATGAAACTTTACAGATGAGTTGTTGAAATCAAAATGAAGGCCGAGGTCAAAGATGAGTGTGGTCTGAGTATGGGGGCTGGAAATAGGGGTGAAAAAAAAAGGCCATAGACCACCTACTTTACGCCCCTGGCCCGCACTCGTTTGAAACAAGCAGCAACCTCCAGGGCTATAAATGGAGCCAACACACAAGTGCCAAAAACTGCAGTTTCTCCAATGGCCACTTGAGGCTGCCTCCAGAAGCCAGTCAATCCTCAGAGACCCCCATGTTAAAATGCCCATCTTAACAGCAGAAATAAGCATGTTTACAGCCTGGTACAAAACCCAGTTTTGGTCTCTGTAGCTAATTTCCTACACTTAAGCTACACATAATTAAGGTTGTGGCCACTGTGAGTGACAGTATCCTTGGGCTCTCAGTCAGATCCACCCACCCACCCCTCACTCCTCCACAGCGCCAGCCTCTAACCCAAATGTGGTCACTTCTGCCTCCAAAAAACTAAGATGGCAACAGCTGTAATGCCAAACCCGAGACTTCAGAATCACAGTTCACAAATCAGTAGGTGACGTCTATAGGCTGTGTCCATTGTTTTTACAGTCTATGTGATTTAGTGATTCCATCAAAAGATGGTCTGTAGTTACTTTTTATTATCAGCCAACAATGACGATTGATTTAGTCATATCTGCAATAAGCTGATTTATTGGTCTAAGTGTCACTCACCTATCTGTCAGATATTGGTGGAATCTTTCTGCTTTCCTGTCTTTGTAGTCAACTCCCACTGTAACACTGTGAACTGTTTGCAGCAGCTCTCATGGTCTCTAAACAGCGTGAGGAGCCCACAGTGGATACATAACATCCCAACGCCTGTGAGCAAAACACTTAAAAACAGGAGAGAATAATTTATGTGTAGAGGCTTTGTCATCTCAAAACACTTAACCCTTCCCAGCTATGATAAATTTAAAGAGTTATATATTAAGAAAGTGCTGTTAATCATTTAGCATCATACACTTAACAAACAGTTACTTTAACTTGTCAGCTGACAATATTTAAAGGTCCAGTGGAGGATTTTAGGTGATGTATTAGCAGAAATGGAATATTATATATGTGTGTTTTCTTTGGAATA